CCTGAAAAAAAGTAATGCCTGGATTTGGGTGATTATTTTAAAAATAAATATAGTAGAACAGATTGGATATTTTGATCACAAATTCTGTTGAACAACCGATAGTGGCTTTAATCAGACTCTTAATTCACTCTTCATCTATAAATCCTTGCTATAGATTAGTTAAAGTCTATAGAATGGCTAGTAGTAAGCGTCTCAAGGTCTGCTGTGTTCTTTTCCTCTTAGGCTTGGGATAAGCAGTACAATAGCAGCAAAAGGTATTTATTTCAGTGTCTTGGAGACTTAACATTGTTGATTTCAAGACTTAAAAAAAAAATCTCTTTACATAATGAAGTAAACTTACCTGTCAGTGACTGTAGGTTAAGTGTTGCAAAATACTGGAAATTTTTCAGTAATTTTCAAAAGAATATAATGCATGTAGGTGATCAGTAATTATTTCTTAAATATGTTGCATTTTTGACCGTCCAAACCCTGGACATTCTTTCATTCTTCCTAGTGAATTTGAAGTGTTAGCAACTAAAATACTAGTACTCCATCAAATTTATACTGTACTCCATCACATTGGCCAGTGTGGTGGGTTGTGTCTTAACTCCTTTCCTGGCCTCTCCAGATGATTTTATCATATTAGTACACTTTTGATTTTTTTTCCCCTGGGCCACATAATAGGAAGGATTACAGAGCAGAAACTGTCCCATGTGGAAGTGCCCTGAGAGACTGCTTGAAAAAGACCTGGAGGTCAGAGTTAATCTGATGGTAAAATACTCAGCTTGTTAAGTGTTATTGAAATAAAAAAGAGACAAAGCAATAAAAGTAAAAGAACCATTGAAGGAATCAACAGAAATACCAATTGAATTGAAAAGCAAAAAATTTATAAAGAAGAAGGAAAAAAAGGATCTCAAGACAAGAAAGGCAGTTAAATGAAGTCTGAGGCAAGCATAGAAGAATCTAAGAAAAGGCAAACATGCTTCCCTTCAGTGCTGCAGCTGACAGGGTCAAAGGAGCAATGTGGCAGCCTTCATTTCTACTCAAGCAGCAGAGGAAAAACATTGGCTTGGGATGAATTAGCACAAGGACCTTTGAAGAGAAGCAGTACTGGCATTTAGAAGATCTAGGAGGGTAAAGAAGGATAGCAGAGATCACTACTTATGGTATGGAGTCCTTGGGGTTCTCTGAGCTTGGTTCTTTTCTTGCAAACGTTTCATTACCCGGCTAGGTAACATATTTGCCTCTATTGGTATCACTGCTTATGCTAAGTGTAAAGACAGCAAGCAAGAGCAGTAGGATAGCAGAGAATGAAATAGCACCACAGGTCTCTTGAGGTCTCAGATGGAACTTGAGCCAGGCTTGGAAAACAGAAGGAAGAACAGGACTTGATCATCTGTGTCTTTTCTGGGGTGTGAGAACAAAGTGGGGAAGGAAAGTTGGGGAGATGGTTGCAATAATAGTCTGTGACAGAAGGGCAGTGACCAGAAGGTCTGCTGAATGGTACCTGGATTTGAGTGCCTTTATGTGAACCTGGGCTGGTTTTGGGAGATAAATTGGAAGTCTCATAATATTTTTACTTGGGACCAGTTCAGTTCTGATGAAGCAGGTTTTTTTTTAACCATTTATACAATTTAAAAAATAGTTTGATTTACCTCTGAGTGCTTCTTGACTGTTAATTCAAGTTTATTTGGTTATTTGAACAATTTTGTCCTTATGCTATTGCTGCTTCTGAAGTATCACATCTGTTAGAGGTTTTGGAAGTATCAGTTGAGGTGCCTAAGCAGGTAATCCATTTATATATGAAGTTAAAGTAATTTAATGAAGTTTGTTTATTTTATTAAATTTGTATGCAGCCCATCTCCCCCAATGGGTGACTCTGGGCGGCTCACAATTTAAAAAGTTGATATTATTTATTAAGTTCATTTGTTTTCTTGTCAATTAGTAGAAAATGGCAGAACCTTCATAGCACCTCCAATCCCAGCTTCTTCAAACCCTCCAACGAGATACCATACTCAGTGATATCAAAAGCTGATGAGAAAGTGAGAGATATTAATGGGGCTGCATTCCCCATTTCTCCCACTATAGACAATCCATTAGGGTGACTACAGCTATTTCTGTGCCAAATCTAGGTCTGTACCTAGTCTGAAAAAGAATTAATATATGGTTGGCTAAATATGGGAAACTGGACCTTGGCCAATAATCATTAAGATTGCTCAGGCTCAGTTCCTTAAGCAAGAGCCTTACCACGATTTCCTTTAAGTGAGCAGGGAACGTCACCTACATAAATAAAATATTAATGATCTCAGTGATCACTGGCAGCACAAAGTATTTAAAGGCCTTATAAATCAACCTAAGGAGGGGTTCAGTACAAGAAGTGCCATGAACCTTATCTACTTCCTCAGGGGACAAATTGGGCAATTGGCTTAAATAATTGTTATTAGATTATTTATTTATTTATTTATTTGGATTTAGAGGCCATCCCATTCCCAGATGACTCTGGATGGCTTACATTTTAAACGTAAGAACCATAAAATGAAAAGAAAAACAAACATGTACACCTGGAGAAAACAAATCCAATACAGTATACCAGAAAAAGAAAACCAGACTTTTGGAACAACTGCAGATTGGGAGCCATACAGATCTCCAGGGGGATGTCATTTCAGAAGGCAGGCACCATGATGCAGATGGCATGCTTCCTAGGCTCAGATATATGACATTGTTTAATTGAAGGGTTTGTTTAATTGAAGGATTAGTTTATGAGTTGAACACCCTTAGTATGGTATTGCTTGAATTGATTTCAAATCTAATAGAAATCTAAGCAGTCTTCTTCATGCAGAATACTGCAAATAGCTCAAAATGGAGCTCAGATAGAAACTGGGTGCTGGCAGGAGTTATGCTTCCTTGACTGCAGCCATTCCCTAAACCAGAGTTCACTATGAGTTCCAGAAAACCCCAACATGCTATGAGCTTCTTATGGACAGGTGGTGTTTAGGCACCAACACATCAAGTGCCCAGGAGATTTTGGTATTCTGCATTGCTATTGCTATGCTGTGCTGTGCTGTGCTGTGCTTTTTTATTTATTTATTCAGCAATGTTTATATGCTGCCCCAGTCTTCAAATTCTGGATAGTGTACAAAACAAGAATTCAAAAAAAGAACATAAGCATTTAAAAAAGACCTAGATAGTTTCTCAAAACCTTGGGCTAAAGGTCTGATTAAGAAGAATAGCCTTAAGTGCCTTCCAAAATGTCAGAAGGTTAGGGTCTGTATGTATTTCTGGAGGCAACACATTTCACAATGTGGGGGTTGCTATAAAAGGGCCTATCTTCTGGTTCATACCCTTCTTATTAAATGTGGAGGTGGGAGCTTCAGCATGTCCTCTCTTGAGGATTAGACTGGATAAATGCAGTCATTTTTGGGTGAGGCTGATATATCCTGTTACTACATTTTATAGGTCTTTATAGATAAAAAATACAAGTTTGAATTAGGTCTAGTAGCCTACATAAGATGAAGATAACTGTGTTTTAATGAATTTCTCCATTAGGAGTTTGGGTATTGCATTCTATACCAGCTGAGCTTCTGAGTTTTCTTCAAAGGTAGTCCCACATAATGTGTGTTGCAGTAATCCAGTTATGTGGTGATCAGGACATGAATTATATCACTAAAGCTATTCTGTAGAGACATAACTGGCATATCAGCCAAAGGTGGGTGAAGATCCTTCTGTCCCAGCCTCTGCCTACTATTTAAGTAGGAACTGCAAGTCCAGGAAGATCTCTGTCATGAACCAGCTCCTTCAGAGGGAGTGTAACCGCCCTAGAACAACCATTAGGTTAATCAAAATATTCACAAACAGCATCTCTATCTTGCCAAGGTTTAGTTTCAGCTTGTTTCTCCCGATCCAGTTGCTTACAGGCTCCAGACTCAGGAGGCTATTTATAGTAGTTTGACAGTTTCCTCAGAAATCAAAGAGAATTGACTGAAATGATCCTTTCATAGACGATGGACTTGGATACAGAGGAAAACAACTAGCCTGAATTTTGAATTGTTGTATGTAAGATCAAAAGAGAAATGTTACAATATACTGTTGATGGAAAACAATACTTCAAGGATTGTGTAAGCTTCATTTTTGTGCTCAGTTACTTATTAAGAGACTGCATATGAGTATTCAGTGTATATACTTTCCTGCCTGCAGATGGTAGTGAGTTGAGTGAAGGATAATTTAAAATTAAATCCAGACAAGACATAGGTGCTTATTGTAGTGAATTACAATTCCAGGGAATGTGGTAGAGTCCCAGTTATGAATGAGATTACAGTCTTCCAGAAGGAATTGGTGCATGATTTATGGATGCTTTGAATCTTGATCACACTCTAATTTCCTAGATTGAAATTACAGCCAAGAGCCTTTACATCACTTTCAGTTTTTATAGGCCAAATCTTATCACTTGCTGGAAGAAAATGATACTATCAGTGCTACTGGTAACCTCAAGGTTTGACTACAAAAAAAGGGTTCTACAAGGGACTGCCTTGTATTTAGAAACTTTAATTAGTACAGAAAGTATTTGTTATTATCTTTAAAATTCTGTGTGGTTTGGATCACCCTGCTTACCGAAGTAATCTGATAAGATTCTTTTCTCATTACAGTGAGCTTATTGGGTCTTCTCTGTAACTAACTCAACTCTCTGGAACACACACTCTTATTAACTGGGTGGAATGACCTTTTTCATGGCTTTCTAAAAATGCACATTTGAGAATAAGTTTTTTGTTGCTGGTTTTAATATTTCAGGGTTTAACTTGTTTTCTTTAAATCACAAATCATTGATAGATTTTGGTGGTTGATGCTATAATTAATTTGTGTGGAGTGTAAGGGCATGAAGATGAATAGATACAGAAATGTGCATTTGCTAGAAGTATTGATTTGTGAATCTTGATTAAGTACTCTGAAAGCTAATTTTCAGTCAATTGATACATAATATTTTTCAGTCATTCATACGGATTTGGATATTGTGTTTATTTTTGTAGGATTAGCTCAGAACGTAGAAAAGAGAAATCTAGAGATGCTGCCAGGTGTCGGAGGAGTAAGGAATCAGAGGTGTTCTATGAACTTGCTCACCAGTTGCCTCTTCCCCATCATGTGAGCGCACATCTTGATAAAGCCTCTGTTATGAGGCTTACAATCAGCTATCTGCGCATGAGGAAGCTGCTTGATGCAGGTAAGTATTGTTCTTGCAGATGGATGAAAACACAGTTTTTCAATAGCTGGTGAATAAATACTTAGCTATCTATGGTACTATGATATGAAACTACATCACTTCCCAGCAGCTTCTATCTATCTCCCCAATCTCAAGAAGTCATTTCTTAGCATTAGAAGGAGAAAGCCAAGGGCCTTATTTTTCATTTCAGAAGCTGTTTACCCATTGTTTCTGATACTGTTACTGCTTCAAGGGAAGGGACTTGCTGGTATTGAAGATTGGATGCACAAAACTCTAGAATGTATAGTAAAAGTCATATCTCTTGGAACATTTTTAATCTCCCTCTATTTTTATTCTCATTGTGCACAACCATATTTACGTTATGCAAAAATTTGCTTTAAGAGCAAATTTCATATACATTATTAGCATTTACTACTTGATTGAAGGCTTCACTAAAACTGTTCACCATGACAAGTGTGGTTCTAGCATTGATGAACAGTCATGCTTCCTCCAGACTTTGAAGCTCAATAGTTGGATGAAGATTGAAGCTGAAAAACTTTGGTACAGGAGCAAACTGTTGTGTACCCTGCAATACATTTGGGCAGAAAGAGAATTCTATCCCTCTTTCCAGTTGTTTACTCAGGAAAAACCTGGGTGATGAGCAAAGAATGAATTTTGCTACCTAAAAACAGAGGGTTTTCTATTAGGCTGTAGAGTCCAACAGGCTACATTCCTTAAATTTATTCAACATTTCCAAGAGGAAAGATAAGAAAAGCCAGAGAAATCTTAGTGTTTGCTTCTTGAAAGTCATGATGTTATTTAGACAGCAAAGCCCAACAGACACACTCCCTTTCTGTGGAAAGGGTAGGAGAGGGAGGCTAGTGACAGTTAATTTTGTGATGTCCAGGACAAAAGTAGTAAAATTTGAAAAATTTCCTGAGAGACAAGAAAAGGCACAAGTATGGTTTTAAGACACATGATGTCTAAACTTTGCTGGTCTAGATTTGGTCAGATGGGAGGCTATCTGAAAGTGCCATATACAGTTTCTTGAGTCCCTGAAGGAAAAGCAGGAGATACAAATGTACTATACAGTGGAACCTCGGGTTACGAAT